AATGCCAGATGGCAAGAGAGATAAATTTATACTGCGTCTAGTATAACATGTTAACCATGCTCTGCCATCAAGAAATATCTAAGATAAAACAATTTCATAGGTTTGTCTGTAGGAATTGCTGACTCAGTATAATTGTAAAACTAACGATAACACCGTTCTATTTAAAACGACTTTTATTCTTCCTCATTACCTTGATAACTAAATAAGTTTATTTCACATAAATCTTAATCTTTTATCAAGCTCCTTATACAAAAACCTATCAAGCAGACTATCGACAAAGAACTTAGTACTTACTAAAAATACTTAATTATGGTGTGCTAAAAAAGACTCTCATTTAATTTGCTCAAGAAGAGCTGAACTACGTTGGAAGCTGAAGTACTGGGCAGATAACATAAGAGACACTGATAGCAAGATAATCAGACATGTCAAGCAATCACTTATAAAGTGCACACTGCACACAGTACACTATCAAATGCACAATGGACACTATAAACTATTATATTATTAGTATTAATTAATTAATCACGACGCGATGGCTATATCACTAAGTGTTAGTGTTACTGGTAAGATATGATAATTATTGTTTGGAGACTCTACCAAGATGATAAGATTCACAAGGAAAGACAAATATCTCGGTAGTTATAAAACTAAAACTAAATGTAATAGCAGCTAAAGTAAGTCAATTTGTGAGCGATAGAGACAACACCCTGGCTCCCTATCGGTACCAACATGAATACGCCTTAAATTGCAAACCGACTAGTCGGTACACACAAACGTAAGGAATTCTACGATCAAGCTTGAAGATGAAACACGTTCAAGTAGTTCACAAGGACATAATGACTTACGACGTATAAGCCTATGTTGCTCTAAGAAAATATTGACAGTGTGGCAAAATATCATTAAAATGGTCCGCGGCTGATACATCTATGCATGATATGTGATGGAATGACCCATTAAATTGTCATTTGGAAGACGATAGATTCTACGAATAAAGAGTCGTGAAGAAGATACGATGAGCATGAGAGTTTCAAATATAGTGTAGTATTTATGAAGGAGCAGTATTAGACAGCGTGGTTGAGAAGTTACGGAGGAAAGATTACAGAGTGGTGGTATATTTCATGAGGAAGATATGTACTAAGAAAGGAGCTATTTAAAGATCTCAACTTTAACGCTTCACCATTTCCAAGTTTATATTGTAAACTAAACAATAACAGTGCATTAGTGGACACTGGACAGCACCACATGAGTCGTGTGGTAAAATATGTGGCTATTTACGAGTTAATAACACATTGGAGCTCACTTTTATTTTTTTACCCTGGCTATGAGGGGGGTACTTATGACCATTTTACGAAAAGATAATATTTAAGGAACGAATCATTCAAAAATAATCTTATGTTAATTATGAACCTTTGTCATATCTGCTTTGTACTCGACTAGTCCTCCGTCCTGGTCAGGTTTGCTCAGAAATATCAACTACATTAATATTGAATATACATGTGCCTTAGCTAACAGTAACAATGTACCTTAGCTAACTTACCTCCGTCGAGTTAGCTTAATATTTACTTAACTCTATTGGAACGATTTATTTATAACCATTCTAGACTGTAGACTGGTGATGTTTCAAACAATACCAGGCAGGCTATAGTCACCCTGGTTATACCAAGTTATTACTAGTCTAGAGCAAAAACGGTTGCCATGGTAATACCCTGCCTCTATATCACGTGACGTGCGGTGATACGTAGGAAATGATTGTTACATTGTTCTATAATGGCCATTTTGGCAGTTCCACATCATAAATTGATTGATTAATCAATTGGTTAATACACTTGACTACTGAGCTGAGCAGAGGAGGAGGAGAAAGCTACAGCAATTGCTGAGGCTAAGGAGGAGTTGGAGAGAGCGAGAGAAAATTGCAGTTGTGCTGAGAAAGGGATTAAAAAAGAAGTGTTAGGCGCAGGCGATTCAGAGTTGGAGGTTAGCGAGAGTGAAGGTGATCATGACGGATCAGGGGAAATTTTGAATTCAAAGTTATCCCGAGCAGCTCGATTGAAAAGGTTTGAAAAGGGAGAGGATTTTTCAATGTTTTGTGAGAGATTTTTCTCGTATGTGAGGATCACCAGGATGAAGAGTCCATTTCTGCATGAGCGTTTGCTCCAGAACGTAGACGATAAAACGTATTCAATATTGAGAGCAGTCAGGCTGAGCGACAGGGAGAAGAGTGATCCTGAGCTTTTTTGTGCATTATACAAGCGAGCTATCTATGGCAACGAGGCAACGGCGCTCAAGAATGAACTGCTCAACTGCCGGCAGCGAATGGGGAAGACATAAGTGAGTACGTTTTTCTTTTGAGACAGAAATCGAGTATTGCATACTTGGATGAAACGGTGGCAGAAGAGAATTGTCTTCTTGCCCTTTTACGTGGATTGCGGAGAAAAAAATATGATGCAGCAGCTCAATGTAGCTAGCTTCACATCATGTGGGGAGGCGGTGAGATTAGCAGAGAAGATAGAGGGCGTGGAGAAAATGATGAATGACAATGAGAGTGTGCTTCTTGTTTCTTCAATTTTGAAGCACACGACATTTTCTGACAAACTGACTGTCCACCATCCATGGAACCCATTGAGGAGACTCCCAATAGGGTTAGGGGAGTGAGGAGAGTGAGAAAGGGGGAAGCCTATTCTGCTACGCTAGATATACCCAGGTTGGAGGATGCAGAGCCGGAAGAGGTCTTTAGGGAGAACAGTAGATGGCGAGATATGGAGGATCTTTACAAACAACTCAGGGTAGATAATATTGACATCACTCCTCAGTTGAAGGATGAGTTGAAGAGCTTGCTAGCTGAGAACAGTCATTGTTTCTCCAGAGATAATGAGAGGAGATCAGACAGAGAGAGGAAGATAGAGAGAGACAACGACAGAGACAGAGGGACGTAGCTAGGGAGCAGGAGAGAGCTCGAGCAAGAAGAGAAGCCGATGAGAGACACACAGAGAGAGGAAACGAGATGGAGGGACTTGACAGTCAGGAAACAGATGGTGCGGAGCAGATTAACAGAAGAAGCGAACAGAAGAGAGACACAGCAAGGCTGGAGAGGGCAGCACTTAATAAATTCAAATTGGGATCATCAGGGTTGGGACGTTCGCAGAGAAGGCGAGAGAAGAAGAGCGGACTTGGAGAGGAATAGGGTACACACGAGGAGAGAAAAGATTAGCAGGAGGGAGTCGGCACATCGTAGGTTCTCAGGAAGGAGACTGGAAGAGTTTCGAAGATATGATGCAGAACAGACGGAGCAAACCAGGAGGGAGACAGCATGAAGTGTTCGAGACAGAGGTTACAATGATATCCAGGGAGAGACAGAGGGAGAACATAAGACTCAGCTTGGATGGAATTCCAAGGCCAAGCGCAGATAGTGGACTTTATTTGGGAGATCTGTCTGGGAGAGGAGATAATGCAGGAGTATGGAGGTAGCAGCTGGAAGCGGACAGTAGCAGAGTACCAGAACCTGTATTTATGAGACGGTTGAAGGAGGCGAAGGTGTTGGAAGGGGATATGGACTTTGATGCAGCTACCTTGCCCGAGGGAATTCCCTCTAGGGCAAGGATCATAATCTCAGACATAATGAGCACGGAAATGAATGTATTTGTTCAGAAGCGTTTTTGTTCTGAAGCGTTTTAGCGTTTGGCGCTGCGAATGGAGTTGGCAGGAAAGGAAGTATGCTATGGAATAACGGAACAGCAGCGGGCTGCTGTGGAATGGAGAAACAGGAGGAGCGACACAAAGAAGGAGCGAAAGAAGATAATCGAATTCTATATCAAAAGTCAGGCGGGAGAATTCTCCCGAGGGTGTTGGAACCTAGTGAAGATCATAGAGGACCATGGGGACGACAAAGATGATGTTACAGATGGGATGGCAGAAAAGGAGATGAAGGAGCTGATGAGAGTTGAGACGATTGTGGTTTTTCAGCAACTTGGAGAAATTGATCTAGGATAACGCAAGCAATTGTTTGTGAGGGTATGATTATTTGTTGATTAGTGGGAAACGGTCCATACTGTGTATCAATTGATAGCGCAGATTAGATTGCAAAGTTATCCGTTGCATTGCACCGGAGAACTTCCGCACAATTTTGTGGGGAGGATATGTTGTATGGCCATTTTGGCAGTTGAAGTTCCACATCATAAATTGTATGTGGAACTGTGAGACATGACCTCATAATTGTAACTAGCTGCTCAGTACTGTTGTAGATTATCTTGGATTTCCAAAATAACTTACAGGCTTAAAAGTTGAACACTCTTAATACAGTTAAGGACCGGTGCTGACTGCTGATGGGAATTTCCACGCTCGTGACAACGGAGAGAAGACGGGAGTGGAAGGAATGATGACGCAGGATCTAGAGATAAGAGGAGTCAGTAGAACGAGAACCCGAATCACGAGGGAATATATCACGAGGAGAAATGCCCTAATGCAAATTGCAATAGACTTGAGACTATATATATGCTGAATTGATCGATATCGGTTACTTTTTTATTATCTGGTATCATATTTTGTTGTGGTATCGTATTTTTACCATTGGCACTGCATTTCGTAAACCCATTTAACGAGTTTTACGTCTTCAAACCGCAAAGTCCAAGTATCAGCAAGTCCGAGGGAAATAGCGTTTTATCAACATTCCTAGTTTCTTGCCAGTGTTTTTCATGTGGTACTGGTAGTAGCAGGTGGTTATCGTATCTATTACTACTCTTTAAAAAAACAATACCAGCACCTTACCATGGTAATAAGGCGATAATCAGCCTGGCAATACCCTAGCTACTAACCCGTACTATTACCACTCTAGAATAGGTCTAAGAAGCCCGCTAAATAATTCATGACAAATACAATCAAAGCATCACAAAAACAATCACTCAGCATCCATAGTGCACAATGCAAATGGACTGATGGAGTTGTGACAATTTCAAATAACAGCACTCAAATGAGGTGGTAGTTTAGAGGCATAAAGTTTGGGGCCACAAATAATTTGGTGGAATTTTCTGTGGCGGAGAAAATTGAGCGGAATTAGCTAATTTATTAGAGGCTTGATATCGGGGCCGCGAATCTGTACGGCTTCAAGGGCGATTTTCTGAATCCCATCAAAGCATAGATCTTGTCACATTTGTTGAAAGTAGAGGTGATCTGCAATAGTCAAGTTTAAGGGGGCAGGGGGGGGGGGGGAGAAGATAGGTTTTAAAGGTGGTTCCAGGAGAGCAAAAAGACTGATTTTCAAGAAAATATGTTAACCTCAATTTTCCAACAAATAAAGGGCATATAATAGTTCGGTTCTTTTGCGATATTCAAAACGCGACAACTAGCGCTGGATGGCGACAACTAGCGCTATCCAGCGCTAGTTGTCGCCATCCAGCGCTAGTTGTCGCCATCCAGCGCTAGTTGTCGCTATCCAGCGCTGGAGAACTGGTTATTAGCGAGGTTAAGGCCACAGGGGGGATCCTAGGTCGAAAAAACGTTTTTTGCCAGTTGGCAGACCACGTACTATCTGACGCTTGCACACCACCCTAAGCCCCCCAGAGCGCCTAATTTTTCGTAAAATTGAGGTTAACTATTGCCTTTTTAATCAGTTAACCTCACAAATAACCAGTTCTTAACATTTTGTTGCTCTCATCACAAGTTAAACTTATCAATGGGTATCAATTGCTTAGATGGCAAGTACGTACGGTACAGGGCTTTAAGTACGTACGGTACAGCTACTTTTAAAGGTACGTACCGTACAGGCACTGTAAGGTACAATTTTTTTTCAAATTTTTAGAATTAACTTCAGTGAATTACTTGCAATTTTTGATTAGTATTATCATCATAATTTTTGAGATAGAACTAGAAGTCGAAAATAAACACACAAATTAACCGGTACTACACTACTACTACTTGTAATTATCGTTAAACTCAAAGCTTCATCCTTTTGTTGCAGTATACGAACATCAGCTTTTCAGCTAGCTCAGGTCGCAACCTTAATCTACGCTTGTCCATTGTTATCAACTGGATTTGTACATTTCAGCCTACTTTATTAAGTACGTACCGTACAGCTAATTTAAAGGTACGTACCGTACGTACTTGCCATCTTAGATCAATTGGCCATCCAATGTGAACAGAACTATTATATGTCCTTTATTTGTTGGAAAATTGAGGTTAACATATTTTCTCAGAATCAGTCTTTTGACTCTCCTGAACAATTTATTTACCACCTCAAAAACCTATCTTCTCCTAGAGCTTTTATCTATTTCACCTCAAATTTGGAACTTATGTTCCTGACATAAATTTAAAAGTTTGTTATGTAACGATTGTTGTAATTTTGCTCCTAACTCTTTTTATGAGGTTAACCATTTTAAATTTTGTAACCCACACTCATGGTTAACCTCATATCTCAGCTTTGGAGCAAGATATCATAAATCGTTACATAACAAAAACTCAAAATACCTTGAAGAACATTGTTGCCAAGTTACAAGGTTCTAAGTAATAAACTGAAAAAGGAGATAGATTTTGAACACAATTTCATATAAAGTTTTCATTTACAATAGAATTACAGGTAAACCTCAACATTCTACGCGCAATATCTTCAAATAGGAAACTTTGTTTTCGGTAAGGACGAAAGCATTTGAAAATTTAGATCGAGCTCTACAACATATCTCAAAATCTCAAAATTGACCTCGGACCCCCCCCCCCCCCCCCTGTGGCCTTAACTGATTGAATAGGCATTAGTTAATCTCAATTTTACGATAAACTAGGCGCTCTGGGGAGCTAGGGGTGGTGTGCGAGCGTAGTACGTGGTCTGCCAACTGGCAAAAAATATTTTGTCCACCTCGGAAACCCCCCCCCCCCCTGTGGCCTTAATTGTTTGCTCAACCATGAATACCGATTTCTTGCTTATAAAAAAATACACATAAGGAGCTTGATCATTTAAATATTAACAGGAGAAGCAATCTATCAGATATAGCCTAATTTCTTGCAGGCAAAGATTTTGCAATAAAATGCTATATATAAAATGTGATGAAAAATATGCTATAAAATATGAAGCAATCACATTAACTATCGGAGTGTCAGTATTAAAATAACGACAAGCTTTAACCGCAACATCGCCATGTCACTTTGTCAACGGTAACAAGCACAATTGGTATATAGTATTCTAGAGATAATATTATAGCATTGAGGAGCTGGTAGTTTATTTATTAATTCCACGCGGTCGAGCATATTATTGTCATACCAATAATAGCGCAGTGTTCATGGAGAGTGGATCATACTAACAAGTGTCTCAAACGCCAACCAAATGGCGGCATGCATTGCGGAGAATAGGTATTTACTATTGAAAACGGTGATTCATGGTTCTCATTTATTATTTGACAATGGTAAATAGTCATGTTGGTCAGGAAATTGGGTAAATGACTGTTAAAACAGAAATTCAGATGTTACCAGTAGCATTGGCCTCACAGAATTCCCTTAGAAATAGTTCACATATTAGCATTATATAAACAAAATTGTGGCCATTTTAGAACCCCCTCCGCCAGCCACTTTTCAAACGTAAACAGCTGGTTTACGTAACATGTGAACGATCCCTTACTATAATCTATATAAGTCATTGATTTGAAACTTTAATTAATGATTTTTGGTTCGGTTTGGTGGACAAGCAAACATTTCACATAAGACCAGGATCAGCCAGAATTCTGAGATATGAGATATCGCGATGGAATTCAGCTCGATATGGACTAACATCACCACCAATACCGATATGAACTTAAATAAACCAAGTATTTTTCACAAGCTGACCAAACACGACCTACAGATCGGGTGAAAGAAATGAACACGGTATAGAGAGGTTCACGGTATAGAGAGGTTTTACTGTAATAATACCGATAAGACCACCAATCTTTGTGTTCTTATTAATGAAGACAGGAGACATTGTTGGCCAGTCGGTAAAAATATCAGTAGTAAAGCAAATATAGTGTTTTAGATGAGAACTGAACAGACTGGTGCTGTAACGGGAGTTTGTAAAGCTTCACATAGCTGGCCAATGAAATAGCGGTGTTAAATCTATTAGATGGCGGGACCCACCTCCCATATGATATTGTTACTAGCCGTAAGTAACCTGTAGCACTATACATAGCAAGAACTATGGCAGACAATATCTTCTTTTAGATTAGTTCTCCGTTGAGAGAGTGTGAGCTATAACGCCACATATAAATATGTAAAGTGTGAGACAAAAAACGATACATTTTAATGCAAAGCCAGACTCGCTGGAATTTCAAGCCAGTCTTTGAGAAGCTCTGCTAAGGGTAAAGGCATCACAAAGGTAACCGCACCAAATGTACAAATGAGTATATTTATGAATAAAACAGTGTTTCATGGTACTAGGGTACGTGTATCATGGCTGAGTATGGCTGGACGGAGCTAAAACACAGATTAAACTCGACGTATAACTGGGAGATTATTATGTAAAATCTAATCCTAGAAAGTAGAAACTACTGCAAAATAGGTCGTCTTAAAGGTTGCGAAGCCAGGCCACTGCTAATAGAATAACAAAACAAATTGAAAACACTGTTGAAGTTGTTCCCAAATTAAAGGCGCCCTGACAAAACTGTCAGCATATATGGCTTCAATGGAATGTGAAGCCATATAGCTAAGAGCTCAGAAGAGTTTTAACTCCTTTTTAGTTTAAAAACTAAAAAGGTAACGTCCGTGACGTCAATCAAAGGTACGATGGCAGAGACGGAGACGTCTAATTGTCTAAGGATAGTCCAGAACGTCTAGATTGGATAAGAAAATAAGTGGCCTGTCAGATGCACATATTTTTGTTGTTGTTGAAGTAACAGAAAGTTACTGGAGATGGAACAAAGATCAAACGAGCAGAAAAATAGTGGAAAGTTATAAGAACTACAATTTTGTTTAAAAGTTTGTTAATTGACGGAACAAAATTGTTTATATTGAAAGTGAGCCATGATTGTCTATTTGAAAAAAAAAAGACTGCGTTCATTAATCAAATAATCTGAGCAATTCACGACAAAAATGTTGTTAAATAACATTAAAGTTGAACGAGATAATCTTGCGATTAGCTGTTTGACGAAAATGGTAAGATTTATTGCAATATTCGTACTATTTATTATCTAGAGGTACATAGTATTACTTGTCCCTTAATTTCGATGACAAAATAGCGAGCGTAATACTAATTTGATAAAAGAGTTCATGAATGAATAATAAGAGAGAACACATTTAGTATTGAGCATCACTACGCAAGGATAAAATATTATTATCGCTACGAAACAATATAATCACTATTGTGTCGTAATAATTATCATTATTACGACATAATAAGCTTTCTTTGTTTCATCACACAGTACTTGGGTAGCTAATATCATCAGCCATCTCTCTTACTATTATATAATGTATGTGACAAATTCTCAAGATTAGCATTGAAAATATAAAATCTAATCGAAATTTACCGGCGAAAAATTGTTCCAAAACAAAATGCTGATAAGACGAAGGATAAAATATGAAACCCACCTGGCAAGAAGACGATTTTTCCTGCTAAAACAAACTTATCCTATCACTTATAGATGTTTTAAATAATCCTCCTCCAGGCACCTGGCAAGGGTCTAATTTTTGGAGTACCGTTCTTATCTCAAATACTCTCATATCTCAAATACACTAAGTTATACCCTGTACTAAAGACAATGATGAAATAAGTGATCAAAAGCGTTATAGATTCGGTATTAAGTACTATCAACTACTTAATTACCATTGAAGATTTAGTTATAGTGATACTACTATAGGATTGTGTCGTAATTTGGGGCGCAAAATCTACAAACAATATCACCATCGGTTAAATAACACTGACGTCCACAGAAATGTATACCGGTGTGGCAACCACAGCCTGCTAGTACAGATCATGATGCAGTTAATGTTCTTACAGCTGTAAAACTAGGTGACAGTTTACATAAAGTTCAGAAATTTTCAACTATATTTACTAAACACAGAAATGGGTCGATCTTGATAATTGCTGTAAAGATGGGGTAGTTTATCAGGAATGTTACTGAAGATTATAGGCCGGCCAGACGACCAGGGCCTGGTAAGGAAACCAATTAACAGGCCCTGGCACTCAGTCTGACAGATAACCTAGCAACGGAACTTGTTATAAAGATCTAACAATGGGACGGCCACGGTCCCATATATAATGTTAATAACGAGATAATATTCGTAAATTAGCTGATAATTAAAAGTTAAGTGTCAGACAAGGAAAAAGAGTGCAAGTAAAGACTAAAGATCGACTAGTGCAAAACGGCAAACCATGAGACGACAAAAATATAGTAGTAAGACAACAAAGTACTTACCATTAAGAGCACATGGCAAATTAGCGGCAATAACCACAGACTCGAACACAGTCTGTCACGTGATCAGATACAGCATATCACGTGATCAGGTAAAGTTTTGTTCTAGTACTAACTTTGACACGCTCTCTATCTTAGACACTCAGCCACCTTTTGGATAATTTCCCTAAACTATCTTATTAAATTGTTATTATAAACCTGTAAAGACATACCTAAATATTCACTGTGCCTGCCAAGACTGGCTGGTAAAAAGTTTAAAGTGTAACAACTTACAATTATTAGGTGAGCTGGACTCTTAGCTATACTATTGTCAAATCCCTATCAGTTCGTAAACACTGTTAAGGAAAATGACGGCCCCGATATATAGTAGTTTAGTAACAGCTAATTCAAGATGGTGCCTACCACTACCATACAAACAAAGGGTTATAAACCTGTTCCAGAAGGAACACTTGTGCAGCGAAATGTCTATACCTTGATAGTGTAGATAATTGACGATACTGCTGCCCGTCAAAGTTATTAGCGGAATCTAGACTGAAAATTTTGTCTACTAATAACCAAGAAACTCATGCAATGTAACTGTGTAGATTATATTATAAAGCTGCTATTAATTAAGTGTAATCAGAGAATAGAGGGTGGATCTGAAAAGTGGCACATCTTCTCGAGCCGGAGAAGCATGACCAGTGATATAGGATGCGGTATGATAATCAAAGCAAAAGTGTGGGAAGCGCAGTAGTTTCGACGAACTGTTCTGCAGTGGACAATCCAACTTTTGACGGATGGTTTCGCAGCAAAGAACGAATAACGCAAACGCAAATCACAAACGAACGAAGGCCAAGGGCAAATAAAAGATAGCACCTGAATAACACGGACCTCACGAGGTCAATGGTCCGTGTTTTGAAACGGGTTAGACAAATGTAACCAATTCTGTGCGATATTTAAATTTTATTTATTTCTTGATTTTGTAAAATATATGATAGGTCTATATTAGAGCATAGCACATGAGCCGATGTGGTGCCCCAGAATAGTGTCGATGTTATCGAAGAACTATTTGAATTAGTTAATGTTACTACCCCTTGCTTGTAGTGAGGGTATAGTAAACTATGATAACTATGCGTTTGCCACTTAACTAAGTTGAACTATATAAGATACATGTTCTGAAATAAGAGTAATATAACAAGGATGACAACTCCACCAGCTTCTTGGTATCGTTAAGCTTTTGACAAACATGGCCTTAAAATCCCTACCACAACAGATTGTGGTCGCAAATCGTCCAGGAATACGGTCAATTGCCCTCAGAATTCCAACAACCGACAACAATCCTGATCCATAAGGATGCAGCAACTTAATTAGAATAGTGGTTCAGTGAAATCTGTTGTTGGACTACCAGATTGCTATGCTCAGCCTAATAACTGATATTAACTCAGGAGCGACTCTAACAGTCAGTAACAGTTTCGCTTCTTAGGTTACCGCTACAATCCTAGTCTCGGTGTAAATGGCAGTAACTTTTCAGCGTGGCTCCGGTGGTAACATCACAGTATATTTCACGAACAACAACGAGATTCTTATAAATGAAGATCGAAGCTGCTCGGTATTTAGGTAAACCACCAACTGACCAATGAACTTCATTGAAAGGATAAAACATTCACCACAACAGTACGCAGGGATAAAATTCAGCGGAAATATTAGCAAAGAATGCGACCTAATTAACTGGCTAGGTTAATACTCATCCCTACGTCCTCTCAATTAAGTTTAATAATTTCCAACATTACAGTCTTCAATAAAATTACACAGATCAAATAGCTCAATATTAGTTTTTGTTCATCCTTTATAGGGTAATTACTTATAAAGAATTAATGAATTTAGCTTACCATAAGGAGCTTGTAACTTCTACAAGATGAAAGTTGTGTAGAGCGTGCCTCTTCTGGAGATATATCGAGAGAGTTGAGCCGATGTCCGTCTTCTTCACCCTGTAACTTTACGGTTACTTTAAGTATCTCAAATAACCAAAAGAATTTTAGTTCCTCGTGAACTAAATGCAGCTTATATTAGATCAACTATCAAGTAAGAATAAGACAGGGAGAGAAAAGTAATAACATACCCATATGACATGTCTTTAATTTCTTTATCATCCATATTCTGAAAAGACGTATTTGTTCATAAAAATTTCAAAATATTTTAACAAAACTGTGTAAAAAACTAATAAACCGATAAAGTCAAACTTGTAAAGAAGTGATCATCAAGAAAAGAAGGCGAAGGAGCATTTTAATTTCAACAGGTGCAAATTTTGGGGTATTTTGTTACCTTGTCTCTTCTTTAATTATCCCTTTTATGAAAAAGCTACGATCGCGAAAAGTGGTTAAAATAAAATCGTGAACTGATGAAATACGAACTATCGAAAAAAAAGTGATCTAAATTAGAGGGATAGGTATTGAATAATGAATATGCTCCTTTATAAAACACCCTGCTATTTAGTTGATGGGGGTTGGAATATGTATGAAATATCCCCGATATTCCTGGTTTTAGTTGTACACGATTAGATCATTATAGGAACACGATTCTGACTGTAATTTAAATCAAACTTACTCTCATTGAAGTAATTATCTATATGCCAAGTTCTTAAATATCCTGATTGGTTACAATATTGGAGCACTCATCACTTTTTTTTCGATTAGTATGCTATTTGGGTATTGACATTTCGTTACTCTAATGGTGTTCAAATGGTATGAGTGATAATCTCTTTTAGATATTTTAGATATAATATCATAGCCTACGCGTTACCATGACAACAAAATACGACTTTGAGACCAGTAAATTAGTATCGAGTTTCATCGCACGGCCCGCTTACAGAGCTGAAAGTGCATCTCATTATGGTATTTTTGTGTTATTCTAGATGCTATCCAGGGTTACCGTTTCTTGGTTTTAATTGAGGGAGCGACAAATGAGGAACTTGGTATTTTTGAATAATGAATGACATACCACCTACTAAGCATAAACTATAAGGCTAGAGCTATATGTTTTTGAATCAATTATAAAATCAATACAAACAAGATGCCGAAACCAATGCAAATTATAAGTTCAATAGACATATTATTATATGCCAATTGCCGGACAGAGCGAAGCGTCGCTGTAAAATGAGAAAGCAATACATCAAATGTTTGAGCTTGTTACAGAGCAGTTAGAGCAACATGGATGTGTTCTTTGCATGATAAGTGATCGAAAATATCCGCATGATAAATTCTTCTGAATTCACAAATTTTCACATAACTATTTCTGTCTAGTGCAGGCACCGGTATCTTTGACTATTAGAATATTTTTGTGATGTTAACATTTTTTCTCAAAGTCTCCCCACACTCGGTGAGCACTGAGCCACACATTTACAACAACGCTTAACCTCATCAAAGCATAATATTCTGCCACAATAATCTGCATTCTCTGCCACAATATACAATATTTATTTGTGGTATTACCCACTTACTCCGCCTCGTGTACTTTACACTGAGTATTGAGCTAGCAGTGGTTTTATTTGAGCATTTACCCACGCTTTATCTTGTCTCACATGCTTAGGTCTTAACAAAATGATCATTATACTACTATTCATACTACATGATTTATTTTGTTAAAATGGTTTGCGGTTGAAATGTTTTCAAGATTTCAAGATTTTATGCATGGACACTAGCTCAATAGTAACTTAAGATCGTGAAGCTGAGGAGTGTGTATTAAGTTTGCTCTCTCAATTGAGCGAGCTAGTCAGCTAGATATTAGAACACGTTGAGACTGTATCAGCGTGATATCAAGCAGAATAAAGCTGTGTTACAATGAAATGTGTTTGATATAGAACACGAGACGTGTGACTACTGACAAAGGTTCAGACCTCAGCTACTAGAACACTACAACACTAGAACACTACAACACTACAACACTACTCTTACTAACAAGAGAACAAGCCGGCGCTAGTCTGATAACTAGAAAAGTAGAAGGACACATTGCACAATTGCGAGCACTAGCTTGACATTTAGCAATTGTTATATACGTGTTATACAGTACAGATCAGTGAGTCATTAATCCAATATGCTTGGAGGGGTTGCATGCACATGCGTGGTTAGCTCTGATGAGTTATTAAAGTCAGATTGTTCAATAACATGAGCGAATGTTTTGTCAAATTTATTAAGTAAGTAATTATGTTTTCTAACGGTTGTGAAGCTATTGTTCCCCGTTGATCAATAAAATATCATGCTAAATTATATACGATATAAAGATGTCCGTGTATGTGGCCAATTCAGTGTGGGTTGCTTGGGTGTACCGGGTACCCCCTGAAGTGTGGTTACTAACGGAGCCCGATGATTACTGTACATATACTAATTTCTAATTATCTGGCACCAAAACCTCGGCTGTTCTCTTCAAGCTGCAACAGAAAAGTGTCCACACTTTAGGTCATAGGTCAAACTCAGGGGGGGGGGGGGGGGGGGGCGACGTAATAAAACCTTACCTCCTCATCATCTTCCAGGGACTTGTCTGTATCTTCTAAAAGTTTCCTTTTAGCGCTTCCAATGTTTCTCTGACAAGTTGATACAATGTTAATGTGTTAAAACTTACTGGACAGCAGTAATGATAATTTTGAAGCGGTGTAAATTCTGTAATTAAAATTAATATTTGATCTGATCTCACTGTAGCGTGTTACCTTTACAGAGATGTTAAGTATATTAGAAGCAGTGAGCGCCATAATGGCGTCATGGTGCGTGGTTGTAGGAGCGAATATAGTATTGTTAACACTCATTATCTGTAGTCCTCCAGTCAAACCACTCAGACTGGCTACTGAACCGTCCTGTACTCTGGGAGGAGATAAGAGTTAACAGTGTGGATGTAGTGCCTCACAATCCACCACTACTACTACTTAATGAAACTTCATAATAAGTTTTTATTACTTGCTATCTCGTTGAGAAGTTTACATAAAACTTCAAGATTTCTTATTTGAGGAACTTTTTATTATACTACTTTGACGTTGTCTAATAATAATGATAATATCCCCCCCCCCCCCCCCCCCACAAAGTTGTCTGGAACTGATAGTGCAAGTCATATCTTAAATAGAAATTGTCTGGTCTAAAATTGGGAATTACAAATTGATCGGGAATTATTCAATGCCCCTTGTCGATAAGCAGCCGTATTATACAGTGCAGATAAGTAGTATTATACAGTGCAGATGATATGCATAATCCAATTCTATATTATATGTTGCAGTGCTAAACGTTTTATATTTTTATAAAACGTTAAGTACTTATTTCATAAGCACTAATTTCATTTGGAAAAGGAATTGAACACTGAACAGAAGGAGCAACAGATGTTGAATCTATTTATATACTCACGAGCGTGAGTTTTTAACATTTTATTTTCACTAGTTATTCGCCTTGTTTCAGTTTGTTTGTCGAGAGCCGTGATGCTCCCTACTAAACAATAAACATAATATATATTATATATGCATAAAGTAAAATAAAATAAAAATAAAACTCCTGAAAATAAAACTTCTAATTAGAAGAATTTCGTCACCTTCCAGAGAGCCATATTGTCACTTACAACAAAGAAGACGAGTTTTCTCGAAGTTATTTTTTTATAAGTTCATTAGTCAAGCGTTAGTACATATATATACTTTACGTCTAGTCTCGACAATAATTCGACCACTCAGGAGTCAGGATGAACTTGCTGATTGTGGTTCTTATAGTTGGGACCTCTGCCAGTTTCCCTCACCTTCCCGCTCTCTACACCTCGAACCCTCACATACCTTCCTGGGACTCTGACCATTGGGCCACCTACAAAGCACGTGATCTCACTCCAAGAGACTGGTATGATAAGACAGGACTCTCCCAGAAGCGAGGTAAGGATCCAGTACTAAGTGTAGCGGAGGGAGTGCTGACTATGAGTGGGGACCAACCTCGCTTGTACATCAACCCCTGGTTTAAACCTGACAAGAGACATTATACCTGGGAGGAGGAGCGTGCTAGACTTGCTGCTGACAGACCGCTTAGATTTTACAAGAACACGGAAGTAACAGTTTACTATAGGAGATCTGGTACAGATGGTGCTGCACATGCTGGTCTCATTATCGGGTGTAGAAGTTCTCCTAACGGACACACCAGCTCAACTGGGTACAAGGAGATAGCGCACACTTACTATGCCAAGTTCAGACATGACGGAGAGGCCCAGTTTGTCAAGGAAGTGACACATCCCAACACCACTGTCCACAGTATTGGAGACCTGTTTTCGGGAAAACCACTTCCACAGAATGAATGGATTGGTATGAAGTTCGTTGTGTATAACCTTGATGATAAAAGGGTGAAACTGGAGGTGTACATTGATCAGACATCAGGTGGGCAACTGGGTAAAATAACAGACAAAAGTAACTGGAAGAATGTTGGGGAAATGACGGATGATGGAACTAACTTTGAGGCGAGTACAATCGGTGAAGTTGATGGGAAAAGTGCAATAACAGAAGGAGGAGGAGTAGTGTTAATCAGAAATACTGGGATAACTAAAGCTGAGTACAAGTTCCTTCAGGTTACAGAAATACAAACTCCAGCACAACAGCTATTTGTGCCAGAAGATTTCTAGTTTTGAATTTAAAATGTTGACTTTTCTCTCAGAGAAAGTTTTGACCTTCTCTAAAGTTTGTTTTTATAATCAAAGTGTAAATTTTAGCTAACATTTTGATTAAAGTTACTTACGTTTTAATCTCAATGGGAGAATCTGTGCCACCAGCAAGCAGTAGACCAAGGCGCTCACCATGAGGCACATCGATTGTTACAGAGAATATTTCTTCTTCTTGTGACACCATCATCTCTAAAGAATTGTAAAAATTAGGGGAATCGCTCTAAATATCTGTCAAACCTTTTCGATGAGTATAGGCTATATACATATATGTAAGTATCCTTCTTTATGGAGTGGACTCATAGATAAGAAACTATGTTCCATTTCCTTGCTCAAATTAGCTCATTCACAAGTAATCCAAATACAATAAAACCCTGATTTACCATGGAATGTGGAAGAAATACAACATCTACAGTAAATCATGGTTTTGTTTGTTTACATTGTGCATGTTCAGCCCTATTTGGGGATAGGAAATGGCTGCAGTAAATCAGGGTTTGTGGTAAATCGGGGCACAGTATATCAGGGCCTAACTGTACCAGGGTACATCTTACTATATATAAAGCGAGACGATATATATATATATATCTGTGCCATTTTACTGACACCACGGCATCGACTTTAACGCAACTTTCTGCAAAAACCGTAAAAGATATACAACTGAAACTTTTTTGGCTGGGTCAAATGCTTTAATATCCTCCAAATCAGCATGAAAAAATTAAAAATTGGCCGAGGAATAATGATTTTAGAGCCGAAAATTTGGACCCCCAAGTGGTGTCAAAAACGCCAATTAAATAGGTAATAATTATTTCAGTATCTTGAGTCTTGACACCGTTTAGGGTTATATTTCACGGGTTCCTGCTAGTATTATTAATGTACTGAGGGAATGGAAAACATCGGTTTTTGCAGATTACACTATGGACTCATTGGAAATAAGGACAAAAGTAAATCGGAATGTAACAAATCGCGATTTTCAGTTCTCTATGACAAATCGCAAATATCTCAGTTTCCATAAACTTGACCACTAGGCATAAATAAACTTGACCATTAGACATAAACTTGACCACTAGACATACAAAGATTACGTCGCGCAGCAGGTGATCTGTGTCATTACTGATAGTCAGAATATGTAACATATTGATAAAATGAAACGGTCGTTTCTATTATTTTTTAAACCAAGGTCAGGTCACAATGATGGTCAACAGATATGTTAATTGTTAAACCTTGTTAATGGATCCTCAACAGTATGTTTTGGATGGTATGCATGAAGTTGAAGAGGGCACATCACCATGGAGAATGGGCTGATTAGATAGAAATTTCAATGAAAGAATCAATATAGGAACACAAGTTCAAATAATTAATCTTTCGATAACAATAAGAACCTCATTGCTTTCTGATCAAGGACAAAAGAAAATCCACTTATTCCCCTCAAGCAATATGAAATATTTGGGAGTTAATCGAACCAAAGCACAAAGACTGCCAATGGACTACCCGCGTAGGAATTATTGCCCAAAATGTTGATTCACGATGTCAATCCTTCGCAGCTCGGCGAGGCCCAGTGGTGTATCTCACCGATCTACCGAAGTTGTTGCGAGAAACATTATTTGATGCGCAGCCCAGTAGTGCATCGCGCTACAATGTACAACCCATAATGCTAAGAATATAGCCTCGTGGATGGGTATAGTATAGTATAAGTAATTGGCACTTTTTAAAAAGATCAAACTGTTGTTAGGTTATAGGATTAGATGATAGTGACATGGGAACAGGTGGTTCATCAATTGTGACCGGTCAATCGTGACCTGTCAACATTGCCGTTCTAAAATATGGGTGCAGAATATTCGCGAATTTTACGATTGGTCCAACAATAGGTGGGGCAGCCGTCCATTGGTTGTAAGTCATGTGACCTAGGTCACATGACCATAGCAGGTGGACTAAGCCTCATTTAACCCCGGTCAGCTCGTGCACTAACATTAGTGTGACGTCAAAATAGTTATTAAGACCTGCACGGCAGGTAATATAAATACAGATGTTTTGTGTTGTAAAAGTTAGTTTTAGTTTTATTTTAAACCACTTCTCCTAAACTGTTGTTTCACATCTCACACACGCACACTTCCGCCTTCTATTCAACACACTAACCCTTATAACATCAATCAAACCATATTAGGCTCCCACGTTTCACACTTCTCATTGGTCAGTACGATTCCCGCCATTTTCACTCCACACTAGATACATACCTACACACTTCACATCATGCACCTGTTCACCGTTGTAGCACTCCATGCTTCTGTATCATGTGTAGTATATTTAGTAGTAGTTTTAGGAATGTACAGTATTTACTATAAAAGTTTGTCGTCGTATAAACTAATTTTGTTATGAATTTTGTTATGACTTTTTTGTATCGAATTTTTGGATAAAGTTGATTGATTAAAAATAAATTAATGTACACAAATTTTGCCTCAGATATATGTTTTTTACGTTTTGAATTTTTAACACTTGTTTTTAGATCATGAATACGATGTAGTTACATTGAAACGTCGAGTAATCTCCTTTCCCTAATAAGAGCATTTTTACTTGTCGCAACAACCGGGATAAAGATAATTTTACCCAGAATACATTACAACAATGCGACTCATAAATAATACTCCAATCCGGATTTTACACTGTTGTTTCCGTTGTTCCCAAAATAATACAAGAGAAGAACCCCCTTAACATTGGCGACGAGGATTACGACCGACGTTGGGACATCTTGCTGCTGAAGGCTACTACAATTACGCCTTACTGCAGAATAAATGATTTTGAGAAAAGGTAACAACGGACAACTGAGATCCTGGTTCTAGATAAAGTCCTTGCTGTGAGGTAACCCAGATTAAGTCTTTACTGGGAGGTAACCCAGATATCAAGTCCTTGCTGGGAGGTAACCCAGATATCAAGTCCTTGCTGGGAGGTAACCCAGATAAAAGTCCTTGCTGGGAGGTAACCCAGATAACAGTCCTTGCTGGGAGGTAACCCAGATAAAGTCCTTACTGGGAGGTAACCCAGATAAAGTCCTTGCTGTGAGGTAACCCAGAGTAAGTCTTTACTGGGAGGTAACCCAGATATCAAGTCCTTGCTGGGAGGTAACCCAGATCTGATGTTTCCCCGAGATCCTGTAAACTTAAAGTGGGACTCAATCCATGGTATCTATAGTGGTGAAATCAACCTACGATAGGAACATAGTGACAGAGGGGTGTGGAGAACGGATAAGCTGACTACAAACGGTTGATTACTCGGACAATCTAGTGCTACTTTAATCTACTGGATATAAACGAAAGAGTTGAGATGAAAAGAGGTATATTTTTTAACCTTTTAATTTTTAAAGCCTATCTGAGAAGAAATATTAAAAATTTTTATCAAAATCAACACGAGAGCTGAAAATTTTGGAGATTTCAAAAAATTTCAAAAAATTGTGAATCTTATTTTTTTGCTACGAAATCATGAATAGATTTATCTAAAATTTTAACAAAATTTTATAATAATTTTACGAGTTTCATAATGTTCAACATTTTAATGATACAGTCCACGTAGTAGAAACTAAGGTTATCATTTGAAAATTTTTCGTATAACATGGCCCAACCTCAAATTTTTGTCATTTTTTCAAGTATTATTATGCTATTTCAAGTTAATGATATGTTGATGCTTGACTTGGAGCTAAGTTAAAGTTAGTTCATATAACTAGGAACTAGAGTTGTTTAGCATTTTGAACGAGGCGTGTGATCGTTTGTTCCAGTGAGATTCCAGTATGACACAGTAGATTTAAGTGAAAAACACAGTAGGTGTCTGGTGTAAGTGAAATGAACAGTGAAAGACACGGTAAATTTGAGTGAAATGCACAGTGAATTTAAGTGAAGTACACAGTAAGTGTATGTGAAATGTGCAGTAAAAATATCGATAGGTGTTTCTCGAGTGACCGCATGCTGTGACGGTCTGATAGTGAGTGATAAGGTCCAACAATTGAGTTGGCTTGTTACAGCTTTAAAAAGTTTATGAATAATACTAATATAGCCAAATGTCGTATTAAGACTAAAATTTTGTTGCATTGTAAAATACATGTTGTAAAGATTCAGTTAATAATTTTATTCCTCTAAACACGAAACATATAAAAAAGTATTAAATAGAATAAAATTATTATTAAAAAAAGGAGGTATGTTAGGTTATAGGATTAGATGATAGTGACATGGGAACAGGTGGTTCATCAATTGTGACCGGTCAATCGTGACCTGTCAACATTGCCGTTCTAAAATATGGGTGCAGAATATTCGCGAATTTTACGATTGGTCCAACAATAGGTGGGGCAGCCGTCCATTGGTTGTAAGTCATGTGACCTAGGTCACATGACCATAGCAGGTGGACTAAGCCTCATTTAACCCCGGTCAGCTCGTGCACTAACATTAGTGTGACGTCAAAATAGTTATTAAGACCTGCACGGCAGGTAATATAAATACAGATGTTTTGTGTTGTAAAAGTTAGTTTTAGTTTTATTTTAAACCACTTCTCCTAAACTGTTGTTTCCGTTGTTCCCAAAATAATACAAGAGAAGAACCCCGTTAACACTGTCACGAATCTTTTATATAAAACTATGGTTCAAAGTAGGCTTTACCGCTCCATCCTTTGGAATCCTCATTAAGTAGAAAAATTCAAACACTTGCACTGGAAGCAGTTGGTAGGTCCGCAGGATAACGGGTTATTAAAAAATGGCACTCGTTAAACATTTGTTTTAAATATTGACCGTCCCTACAAGATATCGGGCTGCCTTGACACATAATACAAATAATAAAGTTCTTGATTTGGTATGCAAATTCATGAGAAGTAATCTCTTACATATAAATATGTCTAAATGCTGCTACCTGCATACGAATCTGATGAAACCTGCGCCAGGGTTAGGCCGTATGCCAATGAATATGACAAATCACAAGGAATATTTATAAATGGACACAAAATTGTCAAGGTTAGCAACACCAAATTTCTTGGTGTAGTAATTGATGAAAAACTTAGCTGGGGCCCACATATAGAATATCTTAGAAAAAAAATTAGATCCACTCCAGGAGCACCTAACAGGATTAAACATTCAGTTCCAGGGGAACACTACCAAAAAATTTACTCTGCATTATTGGAATCACATCTTGCTTACGGAATAAGTGTTTGGGGCTCAGCCCTCA